CACGTTGCATGATCTTCCAGCCTGCGAAAACTCGGCGGGTAAAGGCGTTAATCGCCGAAAGGATCCGTGGTGTGTGTGTGTGTTTTTTTTTTCGTCTATTGGGAGAATTCATTTACGCACGACCACCTGAGAGAGGGAATAGGTGTTTCCCTCCGTCAAGTGAGTGTGGGACTCCGACAATGACTGCCAATACCCACTAAACTCCAATCAGACAAATTTCCACTAATCTTTCTTCCCCTCACGGCACCACCGTTAGATATTACTTCCTGAGGGAGGTCCCAGCTGTTCGCTCTTCCGCCTTCATCTTATGTACGTCCCCCTAACCTGCAAAGATGTGCGTGATTGGGAAGTTCCAAAAAAGATTTCTCACCTATACTGCAGCCTTGCGCTTTCGTTCCTCGTTACTGAGCTCCTTCATGACTTCTACCGCGAAGTTGTTCGTTGCGTCTCAGGCTGCCTATGATAACAGCATTGCTTCCATTAGATCCTCTGGTGAAACTCTCTTTCCGAACTCTGACTCCCAAGTATTTCGCATGTCACTGAATTGGGGGCAGCTGAAAAATACATGAAGAATCTTCATGTTTGAATTTATGGAGATACTCTCTGAAGCACCCATGCCCTGAAAGCATTTGGCACAGATAGTAGTGGAATTCGCCATGAGTTCCACTTACCCACGCGGCTACGTGTGGAATTAGACGATAGGTCCATTTCCCTTGGTCGAATTTGTTCACTTCTCCTGCCATCGGTTTAAGCTGTTTCGCCTCTCCTCAGACGCCAGTTCTTCGGTGCTTATCATTTCCGATGCGAGCGCTCGTTTCCGCTTATACAGCGATCCTCGCTCCTCAGCCAAAACCTGAATGGGCAACAATCCTGCGATGACACACACCGCGTCTTCAGAAACTGTCCGAAAAGCACTTGCAACTCTAAGGGCACTAAGTCGATAGACTGGTGCGATTTTGCGCCATGCTTCTTGCAGTCGTAGAACGTCCCCCCAAATGGGAATAGCATATGTGAGCACTGAAGTAGTCACTGAGGACAACAGTGCTCGTCTTCTTTGCTTAGGTCCCCCGATGTTAGGCATGATGCGTGATAAGGTGGATCTGACGCCCGATGCCTTTTTCTTCACGTGTTCCGCTTGCTGCTTGAAGTTCAGTCGTGTATCGAGCATCACGCCCAGGTATCGAATGAATGGCTGGGAGGTGATTTCACAAGACCCGACTTGCGGCGTGATCGTCTCGATCTTCTTCCTGCTGGTGATCAATACGGCTTCTATCTTCTGTTCCGCTAGGTTCAGTCCAACAGAATCCATCCAGCCGCGGATCGTCTCGAACGTTGTGCTGAAAACACGCTTCATGTCCTCCAGGTGCTTCCTAACAATGACCACCGCCACGTCATCCGAAAATGCCACCAACTTGGTCCGCCAGGGCATATTCAACTTTAGCAGCCCATCGTACATGGTGTTCCACAATAGAGGACCTAGTACTGACCCTTGGGGTACTCCTTTTGTTACCTTGTACTTCCTGGGGCCGGACTCTGTGTCGTACTTAAGGACCCTTCCGGTGAAATAGTTGTTAACCATTCTCTGCAGGTATCCTGGTAATTCCAATTTGTCAAGAGCCTCCATTATGCAGTCCCACCTGGCTGAGTTGAAGGCATTCTTGATATCCAGTGTCACTACTAAACAGTACTCCTTGGTGCCATTGAGCCATCATTCCCCTGCAATCGCTTCCCTCGCGGTTTCGACGACAAGGTTGATGGCATCGAGTGTGGATCGGCTTTTCCGGAAACCGTACTGATTTTTGGCAAGCATGGGTTCCACTGCAGCTTCTATCCTCTGGTGAATGATACGCTCGAGAATCTTACCTGCAGTATCGAGCATATAGAGAGGACGGTAGGATGAAGGTTCGTCCGGTGGTTTATTCCCCTTTGGGAGCAGTACCAACCTCTGCTGCTTCCAGGCGGAGAAGGCGGATGCCTTCTCTGAGGCACTCGTTGTAAACATCCAGGAACTGCTCTGGTATCGTGTGGATGGCCAGTTTCAATGCGACGTTTGGAATTTCATCCAGCCCTGGAGCTTTGGAGTTTCCCACTCTGTTGCAGGCCTCCATCAGCTCTTCTCTGGTGATCTTCGGAACAATTTCGCCTTCCCATTGCTCAGTATTGCTGTGAACTTCCGGTTGACTCGGACACAGCGTCTCCACAATTCTGTTCAGGAGCACCGCGCACGATGGTGATGGCATTGATTGACTTTTGAATCGTGTCATCACCACCTTGTAGGGCCTCCCCCATGGATCGTTCTCGACCTCGCTAAGAAGCTCGCTCCAGCATTGCCTCTTGCTGTACTTGATGGCTTTGCTGAGCTTCCGCCGTGCCTTCTTGTAATTCATCTCTAACTCCTGGAAGTTAGGACTTTTCCTACCACGCTGAGCTGACCTCCTTGCTGCATTATACTCCTTCCGCAACACAGCGATGGTCTCATTCCACCAATACACCGGTGGATGTCGATTCGTGGTTCATGTCCTCGTCATAGTGGCATCGCAGGATTTAGTCACCTTCCTCATAATGTCCTGTGCCTTCGCAGTCGCATTTGCTCCAGCAATGGGATGGTCATCTAATGCCTTCGAAAATGAGCCCGGATCAAATGTGCTCACTCGCCAGCCAACGCTGTTGGTTTTCTTTGCTGTTGATGTGACTTTCTGGTCAGAACATATCTCCCAGAGTATTGCTCGGTGGTCACTCGCCGTGTAGATATCACTCACTCTCCATGAGTAGTTTCTCTTAGCGAGAGCACTACTCACGAAGGTAAGATCAACAATTGAGCTCAACTCTCCCCGCCTGAAGGTTGGTTCATCCCCTCTGTTCAGCAAGATCACGTCCAGAGCGGACATGGCTTCCAGTACAGCTTGTCCCTTCGCGTTTGTTAGCTTACTTCCCCAGTCAACTGCCCAAGCATTGAAGTCTCCAGCTAACACCACGGGAAAGTGTTGCTTGGCATCCACAGTCAGCCGATCGAGGAAGTCTGTGAACTCATCAATTTTGAGACTAGGTGGGGCATAACAGCTGTAGTAATATATTCCACCGATCTTCGCCTTCACGAAACCATTTCTGCTTACGGTGTCTTGGAACGGCTGATTCTCACAAGCCCAGATTACTGCCTTCCCACTGGCGTCAGTAATCCAGGACTGAGTGCCAACATGTCGATATGGCTCCGAAATCATGACAAGATCCGCCTTCAGCTCGCGCACCGTTTGCATGAGCAAATCGTATGCGTCTTCACAGTGGTTGAGGTTGAGCTGTAATACCTTGCAGTTTCTCCTCTTATGATCGCCTTTTATTGGTGAGCTTCTGGAGTGCTTCGTTGTACGCTGGGCATCTACTGCTACCAGCGACATTAGCACAATTCTTCGTTTTGACATTTTCAGTGCAGAGGGCACACCAAGGACCCTTCTGACACTCCTTTGCTTTGTGGCCATCTTCTCCACACTTTGGGCAGAGTTTTGACCGATCCACTCCACTGGTGCACTTGGTAGCGAGATGTCCGTAGTGCCAGCACTTAAAGCACTTGACCGGCCTCTGAACTCCACGTATGCGGCAGTTCACTNTTCTCCTCTTATGATCGCCTTTTATTGGTGAGCTTCTGGAGTGCTTCGTTGTACGCTGGGCATCTACTGCTACCAGCGACATTAGCACAATTCTTCGTTTTGACATTTTCAGTGCAGAGGGCACACCAAGGACCCTTCTGACACTCCTTTGCTTTGTGGCCATCTTCTCCACACTTTGGGCAGAGTTTTGACCGATCCACTCCACTGGTGCACTTGGTAGCGAGATGTCCGTAGTGCCAGCACTTAAAGCACTTGACCGGCCTCTGAACTCCACGTATGCGGCAGTTCACTCAGCCAATCTTAATCTTCTTCCCGTGCGCATCCTCCCCCAGGATTTTCATGACAGCAGCGGCCGTGAGTGTCACCAAGGCAGTTTGCGTCCCTTCATATGCTTTACGCATGGATTTTATGGCCTCGAGACCTAACTCATGCTCCTCACCCACTTGTTTCCAAAGAGCAACGAGAACGTCCTCCTTCGAAGTCTCCTCATCGAGGTCTTTGATCTCGAGATCTTCCATAGGCTCCTTACTTAGCACTTCGGCTTCACTTCCTAGGAGTGCAACAATCGCTGATCGTAGCTGGGAGGCTTCATACGCCTTCTTCTTGCTCAGAATAATCAGCATATCTCCTGTGGTCGTACGTCTGATTTTCTCGACGCAATCACTAGCCTTATCACAAGCACTGTCTTTCTTCACTCGCTTAAGGAGGTCCAAGTAGTTCTCCTTCTCCCTGTGTCGAATGATCAGCGCTTTTGGCCTAGCCGCCAACTTCTTCTGACTTTGCTTCGTGTTCGGGTTTTCCCGTAGCATCTTAGGAGCCGAGTCACCTTTCTCCCTTCGTCGCTTCCACTTCTGCCAGCCCTGGTCTTCACTGGCTTCATCCTTGTTGAACCTGCCTTGATTGGTCTCGCCCTTAGTTCGCTCGCCTCTAGCACGATCCTTCATGCTAGGTTCATTGTGTGTGTGTGTGTGTGTGTGTGTGTAAACAAAATTTTGCCCGACGATTAGTCTTGAACAAATGATATGATTCAATTTTTTTTACAATCAATGCATCTTTGTGTAACTTACAACTGATTAGTTCATGAAGACGATCGGTTCAGCGATTCTTCAGTTATTCGCAAAAAAAAAAGTGAAACAAGTAGGGGTTGAAGCCTATTCGACAGAAGGCATGCAACCGTTACTTTTTGTCTTATTAGTCTTTTTCTTTCTTTTATTTCTACCAATTCCATTGGTAGTAAGCTTCCGAACGGATCCGTACCACTTCCCTGTTCCTAAGGCCGGCATACATACGCAACCACACTAATTCTATTTCTATGTGGAAATTATTAACTAAGAGTTGATATTGAAGAAATTTAACCTTGAACATTAGCGATTAGATGGCTGGATTCGAGATTGCTTGATGAGTGAGCCTATTGATAATTTTCTAAATCTGGTATTGCTGGTTATCTCTGATTTTCAACTAATATCTCATTTTCTTATAAAATATGCACAAAGCAGATTTTTTTTGGTCGAATTTTCGTGTTTCTAATTTTGATTGCAAATGGTCAAGAATGTTATGAAACATGAAGAAATGATGTCTTTAGAGTCATGTCTGTATGTATAACAACTTTTTTAAATTTTTTCAAAGATTTTAGATATCCTGGACAATTTTTCGAAAGTGTCTTCAAACAATTCATTTTCTTCATAAGAGAGAAAGAAAATGGAATGACAAACTATCAATGTTTTCTACCACGCATAAAATCATTTTATTGAAAAAAAAATTTATATTCAACTTTTTGATAAAATGGATTTATACAAAAAAATTAATATCTTCCAAACCACTGGGCCGATTGCGCCCATTCACAATACGAATCTTTAATATTATGAGAGTTATAATCATACCAAATTTCCACTTGATATCTTCTTTTTGTCTCAAACTATCGTGCGCACAAGAATGAAAAAACAAGTTGATAGCTCCATTTTTGCGAAAACTAGAGAGCGTACAATGATTTTTTGAAAAAAAAACAGAAAAGTAGATGTTTGAAACGCAGTCAAAATTCAGTATATCAACGGTTGACCACAGATCGGCCACTTACGAAAATCTTCGGGAAACCTCGGGTCAACGGTCAGGCCTAGTCAATCACCGAATCTCAGAGTCAGTTACAGGCAGTC